AGTCTGCAGTGCAGGCAGTTTTGGTGGTTTTCATCTCTCGAGTGTTTACGCCACGTTGGATTCGCTGCAGACCGGGAGAATTGGGGCGAGGATGTGAGATACAATACCCCAAATTGGGTTTTGAGAATGGGAATTTATTGGAAAATCCCAACTTGGGAATCTGTTTTTTTTTCCCTCCAAAATTTTGGAGGGACTCCAAAGACAAGTATTGTGCTGACGCCAGAAGTAATTCTGCATTCATAGCAACTAGTTGCTTTTTTCTTTGTCTTTATCTAAACTTTTATTCCATTCATTGCCTCAAATTAAGCAATCCAGCTCTCCACATCATTTTTCATCCTGTCGTTTGTTGAAAATCGAGCTTTAAACTTTGACTCGCTTCCTTGGAGATCACTGACACGTCATGTATTCAGGAAGTTTCCCAATAAAAAGAGATTTGAAGCTCTCTTTATCAGCCTCACTTTATTTGGCATCTTCGAAACACTTAGTAACTTCCACTATGGCTGCTTAAATTGGATTGTTTGTGGACAAATCGTGGTCATTCGCCATCTTGGTTGGAAATGGCGGGAAATGGATGTGTGGGACCTGGGAGCGACACTCCTGCTTTCACTCCCCTGTGAAATTGTCGTCCCGAGCACGATTCACACGTTCAAATAGCATCAACTGTGGTGAATGGCAACGACTGTTTCGACAAATGGCAACGGCCATTTACGAAAGGGAAAAATTGCTTCGTCGACCACTATGATCCATACCACGAGGAGGTAGCTCTCTCCCAGTCCCCAGATGCGCAAGTGTAACCCCCTTTCTAGTCCCTGAGGTACTGAGCGAAGCTGTGAATTTGAGTGCTTCCCACGACCACCGGGGCACGCAATAATGGTGAAAATGGAGTGAAATCACCACTATGTCCCCGGGTAGTCTGCGGGGTATTAAATTGACTGGTGCATTAACAAGAGGAAAACTCGCTGGAATCTAATATTTTGTGGCAAAAGTCCAGATGTTAAGGAAGGAAAGGTGTGAGAATTAAATCGCAACTGTTCTGATCGACCGCATCTACTGTGTGGGATCGTTGAATCTCTTTTATCGCAAGTGTTCCTTCGGTCGATCGCCTCTTTTTTTTTGGGCTCTAGGTTTGGTAAATTTTAGGGTAATCCATTTGGGGTAGTCCATACAAGCAGTCCTTAGACTGGGTCCATCTGGGTAGTCCATGGACTACGGGTCAGCAAAATGTACCTACCCTGTCACGAATGCGATTTTCTTTATTCTCAAACACAACAACTGATTTACATGGAGGAAAGATTCAACTTCATCTTCACAGGGTCTGAAGGAGTGGTGGCTAAGCCTATAGTCTTGTAGAGTGGTCGCTAGGCCCTCTGCGACACTTCAGGATTTTGTTTCCTCTTAGGGGAATTGTTCTGTCTGCCATTTTGTTGATAACACATGGTACTGCATAAGTCTGAGCCAATGGGCAAATGGTCAGCAGTATAAGGGTTAGCCCATTGTTCCGCAGAGAGTACTGACAAAAGTCACTGTGGTCCAATGTTTAGAGGGGGCTAAAGAATCTCCCATTTCCTCTATTTAATTTGTCCTTAATAGCTTCCTTACTGAGAAACATTTGGGCTTGAACCATTCTAGTGGCTCGAGTAAGGTATTAAAGGCTAAAAATTTAAAATAAGCGGAGCGCTAAAATCTACGTGGGGCCATGAAGGCGCATACATAAATATCAATTTTGTTACTGATGGATGAGTAACATTAACTTTTACAAGTATTAAGATAGGTTATCTCTGTCATTGTAAAATGAAGATTGTAATGGTTTCTCGCTGTAAATTAAGTGAAGATTAATAGGGTACTTAAAAAAGATATGCAAACTGAGTTATCCCTAAATGATAAGAAATGAGGGTTATCAATTGGGTTGCTTTTGTAGATAAAACATTTTGAACAAGACTGCTGCAGATATGCATATGGATGACTTATAAAAATTATCCTTTCTCTGCCTTTTCTGATGTTTCCTTTCCACAGTAAAACTCTAAATAAGGGTCCTTTAGGCTCAAGTTCTCTGGTGATCATCGTCAACCATAAGTCCAGCACTTGCTACCTCTGAAAACTTGGATTCTGTAAACAATCAATATCAATACACTCTCAAATTTCCTTTATCAACACTCCCTGAACTTGATACAGTTGCTTTGCTGGACCTAATGTAGACAAAGGTATATTTATTTTATTTTATTAGATTTGCCGACAGGCAGGGACACTGCAACAGCCTCAGCCAATTACAGCGGGCTCAGTAAACTCACCCATCCCATCCCAGGGGAGCGCATCCATCACACAGTAATCTCATGCATGGGAGATTAACGTCTCCTATTCCTAACCCTGCAGGAGACGGGACCTGCATTTATAAAATGTTAAAAAATGTTTAAAACGTTATGAATTTTGAAATTTCTCTGTTGTTCGGCTCTGAAATTATACTTAAACAATTATTCACCTCAAGTTCGGTGAATATTGTCGAATAATCCCGTTGACTTCGTCTCGGGGATTATTCGACGATATTCACCTCGCCCTCAGTGAATAATTGTTAAATAGATTGTTTTGTAAATTGTGTCTTCTGATATAAAATTGCAACGCTGATGTCTCCCATGCTTTCCATATCTACCGAGACAGTTCTTATCTATTTTGCGGAGGTTTTATATCGGATCTTTGTCATAGAAATAAACCACAAGTGATGTGAATTTTCACGAATGATTTAGGCATACAAAAAGACTATGGGTTAATAAAAGCTTTAAAGTGTACTCTAAAGAAGAAATGTTTTTTTCTAGAGCGATGGAAAAAGATTGGTCCGCTATAACTTTGTCACATGAGCAAAAGTTATGAAAAACCTTTAATTCAATATTACCTGGAACAAGCAAACTAAGTTCTTGCTTTGTAGCTTCATCTTTAGTACCTTTAAATTGAAACAAATAAGAAGCATTTATTACCATTATATTCAGTTTAAACTAATGAAACTTAGAAAAGCTACTTTTAAAGCTAAGCTTAAAATTCTTACATAATATGTATTCATATGTTCTGCAATCAATCGATAGAAGTAGAAATGATAGACATGACAATGATTAACCAAATAAAAGTGTAATACTTACTATGAACAGAAATGACTTTCACCACGAAAATCTGAGGGCCCTCTTTTACTTCTTATGGCGACATCCACGACATGTCCTATTAGTGTTGCGATTTCTTTTCCATAAAGTATTATGTCTTTGTCTTTTAAGACGCATATACTATGACCTTCTTCGATCCATTCGACCAGAACCCACATAATGCTGCGAACGCTTCAAAACGTTTAGATCAGAGAAGACAACAGCAGGACTCAACTACAACGCACAAAAATTTCGAGTAAAGGTCGTTGCATACATCCCAGCCATTTTCCAAAAAAAATTATAGGAAAAATAGGATCACAGGAGCATCAATATAGGAAGTTTATACGATTTAAATCCCAAATATTGGAATTTTATAGGATGATTTTCAAGTACACACAGATGCCACGATCTTGAAAATGTCTCACCTTAATTCCAACTGTACTTTGTGCATATACATGAGTTTGCAATTCACTGATTAACTAGAAGGTTTGCAAATATGAACAGCGTTTTTCAATGGTCATAGTGATCACTTAAAACTTTCAAAACTGAACCACTCACAATAACTTTAAACATTACTTAGATACACAATAGTGATATATCCAATGTGCAACTTTTTTTGTAATGAGTAAGAAAACACTTAAATATGAGTTCTGTAAACCTTCGCTTGATGAATTTATTTTTCTGTTCAAATCCCAGCAAAAATAAGTTTTTTAACAACAACAGCAATAAGATTGATTTAACAATTTCTGATCAAATGAAGATGCCCTCCAACCTCTCGTCTTCAAAAATGTCGATTCTCATGAAAACTGGATACAGATGTAGGAGCACTTTCCATGCCCATGTTATTACCTTCGCGTAAAAACAAAACTACAACAGTGTACAATATGTCTGTTAATCATTTTCTAGTCTTGAACTTATCATTTACGTTTTCTTTAATTTTAGCTTTCTAGGCTGTAACAGAAAGGTATTAATGATGTTCTGTTTTCGTTTTAAAACAGACTTCTGTTGCTCCCTTGTCTGCTGCATCGCTTTGTTTGCACTACTGATCTTCTTTTGTGCAGCTTCAATCATGGCTTGAGCAACTGATACTTCTTTAAAATCTTTATTCCTCATGGCATCTCGCAACTTTGCATTTGCCTCCTTTAAGATTGTATCCCCAACTTCCATGCACTCTTGCTGAGCTGCTTCTTGCCTTTCCAGCTCTTTCTCTTTGCTGTTTAGGTCTTTCTTTTCTTTGGCAAGTTGTTGTTTCTGTGCTTCTATTTGTGCTGCTTGTTCTTTCTGAAGAGTAAGTTGCTTTTTGGCCTCTTCCTTCTCCTTGTCCTTATCTAGACGCAAACATAATGAGCATGTGCAGAACGACCCAGCTGAAGGAGTTGCTTTGTGATTGGGACAGAACCAGGACCTTTAAAAGCCTTCAGCTCATCAGTTGTTGCACGGATGCCATTGATTTACGCTTCACTTAGACGAACTCTGTCATCTGTAACACTTTTTCCACTCTCTGAAAATCTCCTTTCAACCTCAGCATTACCATGTCCAAGAGAATAAGGGCTGTCTTCACAACCTTCATAATTGATGGGAATTTCTTTTCACCCATGACATCCTTCAGGTCATCAAGCCTTCTCCAGAAGTGGTCAACACGGATGAACGTCTGTGGCTCTTCAAATTCTTTATACCTATCTTCTGTTATGGTTTCTAGTTGATAGATTCTCCACTCATCAGACAGTTTTTCCAGATCCACACTTACTTTCATCTTCTTAGCCAGTATTTTAATTGCCTTTAGTGACCAATCTTCTGAATGGGCATCAGGTTTCAGTGCCTTGCTGCTTCTCAGTATGTTGTCAAGTGGTAATTTGCTAACTAGGTGCTTTGTTGCAGCTATGACGAAAGATTTGGATTCCAGGACAAACTGCCTCTGTTTTTCTTCTGAAAACTTTCCAATTTCTCTGCGGATTTTTTGACCAATTCCCAATTCTTTGTATGCCAAATGGTTTTCAAAGACTTCAAGTTGATTTTTGAGAATTCTTTGGCAGGCTTGTTTGCCAAAAGTTCTTTCCTGAGTAACCTTCCCATCAGCTTTTTCAGGAGAGTGGTAAGTTGGTCATAAAGTAAGTGAATGAGCGGCTCTTCACTCTGGAAAAACCTCAGAAAGGAGTTAAAAATGCCAGCAACAGAGATTAAAAAGTGCATTTGCGCCACCAGGTCATGTGATTGAAGCTGACGTGTGATTCTGATGTACCGTTGATTGCTAGTGACAGACGATTGCTTCTCAGGTAAGACTGTAAGGAAGTACCTCTTTAACCCTTCCAGCTGCTCCAAAATTCTCAGCACTGCTGGTTGAAGGGAAAGCCATCTGCATTCTACATGTTTGAGGAACTTGTGCTTAGCAAGACCCATCTCTTCTTGCATTACTTCATAATCTTCTCGCCTGGCAGCAGACATTTTAAACCACAAGTGCAAGTCGATGACAAATTCTGAAATGCTACTACCAAACACCTCCAAACCTTTGGTGAATGCATTGTGGCAAATGTGACGATCGCAGGTGTCAATATCAGTAAGACCATAGTTCCTGCTGGGAAAATTCAGGAAGGCATCATTTACAATGTTCCAAACTGTTGTGTTCACATTTGGTCCATCACTTTCAAGCATTTGAAGCTGTTCTAAGGCTATTCCACTATCATGAAATGTAGAAATTATCTTCTCAGCAAGGTGAAGACCTGTTGCATGACCCATCAAGTATGTCTGTAAATGTTGAACGACGATTTTTGATTGAGCTGACGACCAGTAGCGAATTTTGATATCTAGCTGCTTATTTACTAGGGCATTTGTCGTCTCATCATACTGTAGGGTAAACGGTGACCCTGAGTTCTTCTTCACATCATCAGTTACAATTTTCTTGAAGTAAGGCCCAGTCACTTCAGAGATCAAGTATGATACCTTTGATGAGCTCATTGTAAAGTTGTTGGGGATTTTACCAGGAAACATGGCATCTAAGGTCTCCTTGATGTTATCACAAGAGGCATAACTGTAGTGAGAACCAACCATTTTCATAGCCCAAATCAACTCTGCCTTCGTTGCTTCATCCATAAGAGAAATACACTGCAATGTTCCACTTAATTGCTTTGTCCAGTTTGAGAATTTTGCGGTGGTGAAACAGAAGCTGCGTTTGAGGTATTGCCAGGTTCTGTTAATTGAGTGGGTGCAAAAACCATTTGGGAGCCACTGAGTATTTCATTTGCCAGTGTTTTGTGACTTTGGCCCATAGCATGCTGAAGTAATTGTGGGAGTCCTTGGTTGTCGCATCGAAAAAGCTTTTTGCAGATGGAGCAGAAAGCCTTTCCCACCTTATTGCTCGGCTGGCACCAACTAGAAATTTTATGACCCAGTCTATCTGTCTGAAGAAGCCAGTCCTTCTTGAAATGGGTCTTTTCACCAGGCATTTTAAAGAGTATTTACATCAGTAACCTGCAATGAGAAACGTCCTGTGTTAGGGCTAGAACAACGTTTTCTACAATAGTTCAGTTACAATTACCATGTCATGACAATCATTCTTTATTGAAACAAGGGCGCTTAAGCATTTCATCATAGTCTAGGATGATCTGTGTTACAAAATTTGTAACCATTTAATGTCCTCCGCACCCAAGCAGCTCTGGAGGTAAGGGACGCCACACCCTTCAGAATTTGACCAGCACGGAAAACTAAACACCAAATTCTGCCAGTAACCACAAACAAAACATGCGTTGATACAGATGCCCGGCTATTTTCTTAAAGATTAAAGTAGAGGCTCAAGAGGACTGCACATCGATGTGCCTGGTATGTCTGTTTGTATTTTGTAAGGAAATGTCTCAAGTGACATTATGGACACCACCTCCAAATTCAAGACAAAAATTGCACGCTCAGATGAAGACAAGACGTAATACTTAGTAAATCTCATTAACATTTGACTATACAAATAGGTTGAAAATGGTCTTACCTTGTAACACTGCTCCCAGTCTCATTCAGTCCAGCCTAAGAATAATATCAAACCACAGGTGACAGCATAACACAGCCTGTAGTTAGAGTACACTCAATTCAAACTCAATCTGACCTGTTGGACACACTCGCTTTATTTTCTTACTTATAACTTAAGCAGTATTTATAGGAAATATAGGACTGTTTGCCCTATTATAGCAGTTTCATAGGATCCTATAAAATAAATAGGAAATATAGGATGGCTGGGATGTATGTCGTTGTAGAGCGGAATAGAACGTTGAAATGAGCGGCAAACCTGGAAACTTCACCTTATTGGATTATATTTGGTCATGTGTCAGTCATATGAAGATTTTGCTCATGAAAGACTGGGACTAGTGATCATGTGATCCATTCAGCGCCATGGTCGCCATCTTGTGAACGGTGATCGAAGTAGCGATAAATGACTTTTAAAGTTAGTGTTAACGCCTGCTAGTATGAACCATGGATGGGAATGAACATCAAATTTACAAAGTAGATAAACTTTACGGCCAAGAGAAGTATGAATATACGGCTTGTAAACGTGTTCTCTCACGCCAACAGACAATGGAAACTCACATGCGCTCTGTGCATCGTTACGTTGGACCGGGTAAGAAAATGTAAGAAAATGTGTCTAAGCTTAGAGTGCATTTCACAATGTCTCAATGCACTTCAAGCTTACATTTTTGTCAATAATGCTTGTAAGTTTCGAAACCAGTAAGGAAAAACTATAGAATTGATAAGCAATTCTTTTATAAAAATGGCAATTAAGCTTAAGAAATTAGTTTCAAAATCCTCTCTTCCTCAACTGTTCCTTCTGAACCTACCCCTATTCTTTCATTCCTCTAGCACTTTTAGAAAAGAAGCATCGCATTAATATTTCTTATTCTCAGTGTTTTAGGTCTGACCTGAAAGCAAAGAGTGTTACTGAAATTTTGGAGAAGATTATGCTTCTAAATGGCAATTCCAGAAACCATGTTAAAATAAGATTTCCAAACTTTAATGGTGTCTGTGGTTAGATATAAGAAAATATAACTTTTTAACTCTCAATATGCCAGAATTGAAATTTCCCATTGCTTCAAATAAGACTTCCTTGCCATAATATTTAAGTAAAGATATGTTCTTAAGCTTTCTGTATAAAATATTCTAATCTGGCAAATAAATTGATACTTGATACTATCTATATCGAACTTAGGCCATCTCAGATCTTCAGCAATAGTACAAATTTTATCAGTGTTACTGAGTTAGTCAAAAGGGGTTGCATAACAGGAGAATGGAAAGACTCTCTTTTCTCCGACAACGTAAAAACGATAAAACATGGCAACTTCTAGCAAATGAATTTTGCAACTACAAAGATCTGACAGAAACTTACGGAACTCTTTCAAATTTTAACGTAAAACATACTGTAAATACTGATGTATAATCCTTACTAGTAGATAATCTGCAATCCAAATTTATCAAATATAACCCTCGAAAAGGTTTGAAAAGAGATCGAAAGAAGTCACAACTGGAGTCTTAAGGAAGGTCTTATATATTTAATCGTTGCATTAAAAAATGTACACCACTGTAAACTTTTTCATAACGAATAAGTGTAATAATAATAATATTAATAATACTTTATTCAATCAAATCACAAAAAAATTATAATATGAAAGAAAGGGAGACACCAGAGGTTAGCCCTATCGAGGGTGTTTCCAAAATAATCATCTAGTTAATCATCTATTTGAATATAAAAATATAAGAACATTAAGTTGCAATTTAACAATATACAATACCTACTATAAAAACTATTTACAATATTATTTAAAAAGGTATTTCTTGACTTTGGTCATAAATGTTCGCAGAGACTCTGCTTCAGCTACGTCTTAGGTAATTTATTCCACCGGATTACGATTCTCACAAAGGATGAGTACTTGTATAATTTTAATCTAGCTGATTTGACTTTCAATTTGTAACAATGATTAGAACAGAGAGGACGAAAGGCACTAGCATAAGTAAACAAAGATGGATTTAGACCATTTTAACTATGAACTTTCTTGAAACATTCCACCAGTGATAGATACTCTCTTCGCTTCTCTAGGGTAGGCCAACGTAGAATATCCAATCTTTCCTGATAAGACAGGTCTTTGCCATTTTCGCCAAGGGCACACCTGGATGCCCGTCTTTGAACTCTCTTCAGAGCATAAATGTCCCTTTTCAAGTGGGGACTCCAAACTGGTGCACAATATTCAAGAATAGGGGGAACCATAGTTTTGTATAGCATGGAGAAGATCTTTGAGTTCTTAGTACCAACATTTCTCTTAAGAAACCCCTGGACAGCATTTGCTTTCTTTGAACATTTTTGAACTTGTAGTGACTATGAAAGGTTAGACGTAAAATATACACCAAGGTCCTTTGTATCGTTCGCTACCCTTAAAGGCTGATTTAGTAAGTTGTACTGTGGAATTGACTTGTCTTTGGAGTGGGATATCCTCATTACCTCACACTTGTCGCAATTAAACGTCAATTGCCAATCATTGCTCCATTCTTCAAGTTTATCCAAATCTTGTTGAAAAAGCATGGTATTGAAGTCCCAACAATTGAGCACACGCACACGGTAAACTTTCATATCATCGGCAAACAACCTTATAGACGAGGATAGCGTATTGCCAATATCATTTATGAAAATCAGGAATAGCACCGGTCCTAACACTGTACCTTGTGGTACACCAGATTTAACTTGCACTTATGACGAACTTGAACCCCTAATAACCACACGCTGTAAACGGTTAGTGAGGAATGATCTTAACCATGATACAACTTCGCCATGAATACCATAGGCCCTGAGTTTCAACATTAATCGTTCGTGAGGGACAGAGTCAAATGCTTTTGAAATATCAAGGAACTTCACGTCTGTTATGAGACCTTTGTTTCTAGCCATAGGACCACTCGTTACCTCCAGAAGTTGTGATTGGCAGGATTTCCCCTTCAAAAAACCAAATTGGTCTGGAGTGCAGATAGAGTTTGATATCCCGAAGTCTAATCATTTCTAGCGGACTACTTTCACGCAGACTTTGCAAACAACGGATGTGAGAGATACTGGGTGATAATTTCTGTAGTCGTTTTTTTAACCTTTTTATGAATTGGAACAACATCTGTTTCTTTCCATTTACAAGGAACTATACCTAATAATAGTGATTTATTAAAAAGATTACAGAAATGAGTAGCGAGTACAACACAACAGCTCTTCAATATTGCTGGATGAATTTGGTCTGGGCCAGGAGACTTGTTCGAGTTAAAATCCTTTGAAATTTTCAAGATATCGTCTGGTGAACACCTGATAGAACCAAGCTGTTCCAACAAGACCTGTGGGAAATTTGGCATAGATTCCGTTTTTTCTGAAGTAAACACCGAAGCAAAGTAATTATTCATAAATTCAGCGATTTCATTCTCTTTTGTAATAACAACGGATTCATTGGCCTGAATAGCGATCAGGTCATTTGTGCCTCTTTTCTTCGAGCCGACGTAATTTCAGAAATACTTCGCGTTATCACTTCCATTATGGATGTCATTAGCCAGTTTTTCCAAGTATTCCCACCGGGCATTCACGTTTTTTGGCGATTATTTAAATTTCTATACTTTTGCCACAGGTTTACTTTATTCTTATTTCTGGCCATTCTATACAGCGTTTTCTTCTTTTTACAGTGCTTAATAATCTCTGTTGTTATCCATGGAGGCTTACCATTTTTTCTTTTCCTCTTTTTCGGGATTGACTGATCGATTTCAGTTAAGAACAAGTCTGACCAAACATTCCATATTTCGTGAATGTCATCGTAAACATCGTAAACATATGCACAGTTTCAGGGAATGTTCATAAACAATTCGTTTAAAGAAGCCCAGTCGGCTTTACGAAAATTGTAAAATAATTTCTTGGAAGCTTTGTGGCAGTATGGGTGAACATTTATATTGAAAGTTACGACGCTATGCTCTGATATTGGCTGGCCAGCGGTCGTATCATGTATAATATCTTTGTTTTTAGTTAAAACCAGGTCTAGGATGTTTTGACCTCTAGTGGGAGG